ATCTAAAACATTTATAGAATCAAACCCTTTTTTTGTTGCATTTTAGTAGATTATAAAAATAAATGCCTTTAAAATAGGATGCAAGCAACTCTAGTTTCTTAACCTGAATTGATAATAGACTATAATCAATTTAAGTTTGCATTCTTATACCATTTTGTACAATAATTATAATGAATAAGTTCAAACTTACAGCTGATTAATAACGGTATCTAACTTTAGTTTTTATTATATCAAAAATCTGTTGAAATGCTTCTGTTATTTTTTACTGTCCCCAAAAAGCGCATCGGCAGCCTCCAGGAATGCTTCTTTCACAACTTTGCCGCCTTTGAAAGACTTCATGTGTTTCGCAAGAACGTGACTGACACGATAAGGTGCTATGGTAGAGCAGCCTTGCTCTTGTTGTTGGGCCTGGTGAAAATGGACTGCTGTGCATTTAGCTGTCCTTTCAGGCCCCTCCCCTTTTGGGAGCGTAGGGCAGAATTAGGAGGGAATTCCGTCTCGTAGCGCTTGTGCTCCTAAATTACTCTTCTTCGATAAAGCCACGCTCGCATTGCAGATGACACAGATGGACTTTGAATTGGAATAGATACAAAAATAATCATCCTCCCACTCGGAGTGAAAATTATATATTTTGGGCTTTTTTGCTTCTGCCATAATTGCGGTCTTGTGTGTGTGCGGACTGTCACTCCTGTTGACACGGACAACGTCAGCGAAATAGTGCCCACTGCCCACCAGCCACGCCCCGACACATGGGGTCACGCCGGCCAATCACAAAGCTTTGATGCGTTTAAGTGCATTATTCTGGCACAGGAAGATTATGTCATAGGACATTAACGATAAAACCGAATATTGTTGTTCTATTTTTAGACACATCTCGCGATCGACTGGGAATCTCCCCGCGATCGACCGGTCGATCGCGATCGACTGGTTGGGCACCCCTGCTATAGACATACATGACCCTACTGTATTCTCAAATGTATTTAACATTTTGTTTTTTTGAGGATGACCAATGAAACCATTATGAGTTCCGTATTTTCTCACAGATTGATTGTGGGCTTTTGATATGACCCTATTTGTTCTATTTAAACGTAACAGTAACGTGACAGATGGAAGTGAGACTCCAACCACTTTAGGAGAATAGCACATTAAACCCACCACTGCCCTACCCACTAAGACCCCGTTTACACGAGGACGATACGGGTTGTATCCGCATAGTTTCTCTTGCGTATAGCCCTTTCGTTTCCACGAGGCCTTAACAAAACGATAGAAACGGACCCCGCAAACGATAACGGGTCCCAAGGTGGATAGATCTGCAAAGGGAACGCTCTGGGGGGGGTCAAACGGCTCCGTGTGTATGCCTCTATATGATCATTTTCTGATAACGATGAAATAGCCCTGTCTCCCTCTCCCCACGTCTCCTGCTCAGAGATCAGCTGATGGGCTGTCAGAAGAGGGGGAGGAAAAGAGAGGCTCCGTTCATTATTCTTATATTATTATATAGAGTCGTTATCAATTTGTTTTAAAGCTCAATAAATAACAAAGAAGAGCTTTGACCGGCACTTTTCAAATTTTGTCCGGAAGATTTAAACTTTAACGGACATGTTCCCTCGTCCCTTGGAAGAGGCGGAGAGGTGGGTGTTTTTCATCTGCTGGTGGACTACCGGAGAGATTTACAGCAGGAGCACACGCCGTCCACTGCGGAGAATAAACAAAAGGGCAACCATGCTAACCATAGATGTATATATCTATGATGCTAACCATGCTCCAGGGTCTTCTTCGCTGCTTTTGGTGTCTTTTTTGGCGGCAGCAGCGCCACTTACAGGCCCGGCATATGTACTACAGCGTTTCCAGCGGGTCGAGCGGTCTCGTGTGAACGAACACGTTAATTGAGCCGAATGCGTGTGAACGGAATACTTTTTTGAAAACGCATACGGTGCGTAAACGCAAACATTCCCGTGTAACTGGGGTCTAAGTGACAGTGACTGTCGGTACAAAAGGTCCCATCAGCTGTTCATATCACAATTGACACCTTTGCAGTCCTTGAAAACAGTCTTTTGACTCTGAAAATCAATCTGTTGGAAGGTAAAAAGCTAATATTTCATCTTTATTTTGACTTGAATTAATGCAAAATCATGGATGTGACAGCTAAGACAGTTATTCGAACATTACAACCCTTTGTTGTTAGCTCTTTTAGATTAAATTAGCTCAGTATTCATAGCAAACAAATGTATAAATGTTCAAATGTATACTCAACAGAACATGAAGCAAAAAGTATCTAGTATATGGAAGTTCAGACGAGTACAAATAAAAGTGCAGAGTCATGGTTATCTCTATATGTATTTTAGTTTTTTTAGGATGAAGTTGGTTATGATATTTCTTGTGCTGTCGCTGGTCGTCCTCATGGCCGAACCCGGGGAGTGTTTTTTTAGACACTTTACATCTCTGTGGAAAGGGGCCAGGACGGCCTGGAGAGGTAAATCAAAATCACACATTCTGTATTGATGGACCACAAATTAGGACAAACAGCAGGGTCCGTCAACAACCCTTTTGTATAAACTGTCCATGAGCTTATCACTGTTTCATAATTGACTGTACTATAGAGCTTTAACTTAACTAACTTAAAGGTGGGGTAGGTAAGTTTGAGAAACCGGCTCGAGATACACTTTTTGTTATATTCCATGGAATGCTCTCAAAATCCCGATAGCAATGAATATCTTAATGGCCCCTACACACGGCGGCGTGCGTTGCCGCTTCAACGCTTCTGCCCATTCACTTTGAATGGGGTGACGTCACGATTCGCCGAACTGCATTGTGGGAGCAAAGCGTAGCTTCTCTCGCGGTGCTCGCTGCAAAAGTAGAGCAATGTTCTACTTTTGCCGCCTCGACGGAGGCGTTAGCCAATCAAATCCCGCGTATGCAAATCTGACAGCACAAGCGCGAGCCAATCAAACCGCGTGTATGTTGGGAGAGCCAGACCGCAGTTATTTCCCATATGTCAAAAAATGGAGGAGGAAATTATCGTGGCGTTAGGGAATCACCCGGTACTATATGACCAGTCCCTCTTTACATACAGGGATACAAACCGGAGGAGCCAGGCATGGGGGGAGGTGGCAGAGACAGTGGGTGAAACTGGTAGGTTTTCGCCTGTTTGGGGAGTTTATAGCCAGTGTACTTCGTTTGAATGGACAGCTAGCAAGCATAGACAGTATATTTAGCCAGCATGGATGTAGCATGAATGCTTTGCATTGTATGTCCGGGGCGGGACATTCATGTGATTGGTTGTTGGTCGCGTTGTTCGTAAAAAATCCCCAAGCTTCAGACACGCCCACCGCCAAGCGGTAACGCACGCCGCCGTGTGTAGGGGCCGTAACGGCCCGTCCACACAGCGGCGTGCGTTGAAGCTTCCAACGCTTCTGCCCATTCACTTTGAATGGGGTGACGTCACTTTTAGCCGAACTGCATTTTGGGAAGCGACGTGGAGCGTTGCTGGCGTTGCTCGCTTCAAAAGTTGAGCAATGTTCAACTTTTGACGCCTCCGTCGAGGCGTCAAAAGTTGAACATTGCTCAACAGCCAATCGAATCATATGCCATTACAAGCTCTAGCCAATCAAACCGCGTGCTTGTGTGTCTGGGGCGGGAGATTCATGTGATTGGTTGTTGGTCGAGTGTCAGACACGCCCGCCGGCAAGCGTCAACGCACGCGGGCCGTAAGTGCTTTGACAATAAATACATAAAAAATGTCATCTGTGGAAGCCGTGGCGCTGTAAAAAGCACGACCAATCATCTGAGCCGGCCCGGCTAAAGTAACTGGATGGTCTACCTGCCTGTCAGCCTTCCATCTGTGCACAAACTTATCTCGTGCCCTCATTGGTCATGTGCGCGTTTGTGTGTGTTGGAGGAGGGGCTCTGTGAGGAGGTCTGAAGGAAGAGGCCGGTTTTTTCCGTCTGTGTACTTTCAAATTTGAGCACACTCGAGCTGGTTTCTCCATTCTTACCTACCCTACCTTTAATGGTGTGGTTGTCTTATGTTTGGACAAATCATGATATTGTGTTGAGTCTTATTGAGCTGCTTTGTGATTTAAATAAAAAGGAAATAGGGTGCATTTGAGAAGTTTTTCCTTTTTTTTTTGTTACTTAAAGAAAGGCATTGCAAAATAAGTTCAGCTTTGTTATCAATATTACATCTGGAATATCTTAATGAATGTCGATACAGCCTTACAATATATTATGATGAATTAAACTGCATACAGACATTAATGCAATGTCTTCTTTGTTTTTCTCTCAAGTCTTCCATAGTTAAGGTATTTTGCTTGATACGTGTTGACATTTATAATAAAAAAGGGCTCTTGTTGCATTATTTGTTGAATTCCTGAGCTGAACTCTTTGAATCTCCTCTCTCCACCCACCACACTTTTCGGGAATAAAAAATACGAAGCGATGATGGAGCAGGAAGCGTTGGAGCGTGCGCTGGAACAAGAGAGAAAGTTTGTCTGATGGAGAAACCCCCAAAACTTTGAATCAGATGAAAATAAATGCTTCTTCAAAAATGAATTCACTCAATGTGCTAACCATTGCTCAAATTATAATACATCTGCACTGTAACAGCAAAATATGTCTGCCTTGTCTTATTTAAAAGATAATTCAGAATGTATTTGTTTTTTTAATTAATCACGATTAAGATGAACTCATTTAAATAAACAAAAACAATTATTGCTAAGCTTTTCTGACCCATTTCTCTAGGGTCAGTTTAGTTAGCCCATATTTTGGGTCAATGATGATAGTTTGTTTCCTTAAGCTAACATATAGAAGTTAGGTAAGACATTCAGAAAGTATTTAAATGTTTAAAGTTGCAAATCAAGATATTTCCCCATCGATGTGGAAAGACTCTGTTGTCATTGTCAAGACAGAACATCATATTGCAAAATACAATGATACATACAATGTTGCCAAATATATGCTAAATATATGTAAAGTTCCACCATACCTTTATAAAGACACAGGTTCGACAGAGAGATTCACATCACTTGAAGATCTCACTTTGCACTCTTGACAAGCCTCTTGGTTCAGACTCTCAATCAGGTGAAATATTTTACGTTTTTGTTATTTAATGAAGTCTTTGGGATTTGACTTTGAATATATACTCTGACTTATAGCTGTAGTAAATTGGTGGATTAAATAGTTTGATTGAGTGACACATGTTGTGTTTTTGTTTTTCAGGATGAAGTGTGCTATGATGTTCCTGGTGTTGACGCTGGTGGTCCTCATGGCTGAACCTGGGGAGGGTTTCAAATTTTGGCATCATGTCGGTCATGTATTGGATGGTAAAGTCACATTGTGTGTCCACTGAGAGTAAATGTATTGCTTTAGCGTTTTAGTCCATTCTAACATAAAAAAGCAAAAGTCCTTAAAGGGAATTTTGGACCCGCCAACAATTTGGTTCCAAACTAATACAGAAATCGTTGTTACGTCGCATCAATTAAAGAGGCTCTATAATGCTTTTTGGGGTTTTGTCTTGTGTGTTTCTTTCTCTTCCAAATAAAATATTAGAACTCCAATAAAATAATGAATGTTTATAAAACGGCTTATAATAAATTATAATGCAAAGTATGACAAAGAATAATGCATCGCACTTAACGTTTTTTTCTCTCTTTTTTAATTAGCTGCCGAAAGAGTCCATGGGTAACGTATTTTTCTTCACATTTCAATTATTGGAAAGTGCTTTTGATGCATTATTTGTTTTATTTTTGTCCAAACTCTACGGATCTTTTCTCTCTCTGCACCAGAATGACCGGAGAAGAACTTGAAGCGATGAAAGCGCAGGAAGCGATGGAAGCGATGAAAGCGCAGGAAGTGATGAAAGCGATGAACGCGCAGGAAGCGATGGAACAACGTGCGTTCCAACAAGAGAACGACTTTGCCTGAGTCCATGATGGTCCATCTGAAAAATAAATGCTTTCTTCTGCTTTTTTCTTCAACATAAAAATGTAATCAACCTATGTTTTAAATGTATCTTCTTCTCATTTGGAATAAATCTGCATTGCATTACACAAATCATCTATCTCTTGTATTATTTTAAAGGAACATTTATTAAATCAGGATGGAAATGATGTGAATTGTGTGTTATGGAATTAATACAATCCCAACCTAGTTAAAGACATGAAACACATTACAGGTGAAACATTACAGATGAAATTGGTGTAAAAATCATTCAGGTCAGAGTCCATGACTGCACCTATTTCTGTCATTTTCTGTTGTTTTTAACGTTGCCAACTGAAGCTCAGCGCTGGCTTTTATTCGTCCTTCATTGATTCCAAAAACAATTACCTCAGTTTTATCTTTTTAATGATAAAGATGGACACATTCCATCATTCATTTATTCATTGCATTCATGGATCATAGTCTCCTGTTGAATGTAGATGTTAAAGAGAAGAGGAACCCCACATGTCATAGTTGTCAACTCAGATGTGTAGTTACCTATAGAAACAACGTTTTTCCTGTCCTTAAAGTAGGATTCAAACCAATTTAGAACTGTGGAGAAAGTTCCAACCAGTTTTCCAGTCCGTCTTAATAAATTGTTGTGATTTATGTAACAATCACACAGAGAAATGTTAGTGTGCATGCCGTATATTTCTGTCTCAACAAGTCCTCCAACTCATACGACCAATTAGGTTGTTTGTTCAAGCGCTTAATACGACCTATAATCACGTTTTAAAGTTGTCTACCTCTCGTGCTCCCGTTGATTGCAAACGTTACAGAGGGTCGTTTATTCACAAATAACCCTCTCTGGAAAATCCTAAATTGTATGATTGTAGGCCATTAAAATGCTTTTTGATTAGATTTCTAGCGAGAAGTGTATATTGTACTTTTAGAATCCACGTCCATTGGATATGTAGGATCTATAGTTTGATAGATATTACGAAGATGATTTGAAGTTTCGCCAGGAGAACGTGTATATGCGGCAGCTTTCATGTAAAGTTAGCGTCAACCCTCACAGGGTGAAAACAGTATTTCCGGTCTCGAAGTTTTCATAATAAAACCAATGATCAAATGATTTAACAGTGATATCTGCAGTACTCATCCACTAAAAAAAATCAGTTTATCCTTGTTAATTACACAACATTAATTGGTTTAAATTGTGTACAATTCTTTTGTTTTTTTTCCCATAGGTTTTTCACTTTAGATTCTGAGAGACACATTTCTGTTTTCAGAGGTGTTGATAGGCTAAAATATCGAACTACACCCATAATCCTGGATGTTTTAGCCGCAATGCACGTCGGAATACAGTGTTTATGCAATATTAAATCGGAAAACATTTTTAAAAAAAGTGTTCTTGCTTTTCTCTTTGGAAGTCATCACATAACGGCATTGTAATAAACGGTTCGGCTGCATTAAATATTACACATCTGCCGTAGTTCTTTATTTGTAGAGCCCTGATGAGAAGACTTCAGGACAAACTGGAAGAACTGCCGCCGAAACTGAATATGTGACGTGGATCATAAATATATCAGCAATTAAACAACATCCTCCATTTATTTTCACACAATACATCTCCTTGCAGTATCAACACTAATTCGGCTGACTTTTATATTTGATCCAATTAGTAGATAGGCTGTATTTACACCATAAAGGTGCACAGCTGATAGAAAGGGACTTGTAGTTTTTAAAGATATTACTGATTTTCTTTGAATTTAAGAATGTAAATACTGAGTTGAGAGAATAGTCAGGGGTTTTGGGGGAGACACATCTATGGAATTAGAATTTCAAAAGCTGATATTATTATGTTTTATTAACTAGACCAGTGGTTCTCAAATGGGGGTACGCGGACCCCTAGGGGTACGTTGGAGTACTGCAGGGGGTACGTGAGATTTCTTTTATGTTAAGAAAAAAAAACATTTAATTTTTTTATTTATTCTACTAAAATCAGTGCTGGAATTGGGCCGGTACTCACCGGTACGCAGTACCGGCACTTCTGGTTCTGACCCATGGAGTACCGGCACTTCTTGCTCAGTACCGGCATGCTGGCGGTACTCCGGTACTCATGCACCGTGCCAGTACTCAACACTCTCCCGCCGTTCTTATTATACATCCATATATATATATACAGCCGCCCGGTACTCAGTAGATGCGTCATGAGGTGCCGAACGGACATTCTCATCGCTCTAACCGCTGGAGTTTCACAGCGGCTGTCAGCTGTTTACTCCTGTCATTCAAACAGAACGTGCTGGAGAGGGGGCGGGGCTTATCTTCTCCATGTAAATACTGTGGTGGAAACGACTATGTCAAAATTAACCTATTTGACCGTGATTTAATAGTAATACATGTTTCAAAATAATAATAATAATAATAATAATGCCGAAGTAACAACATACTGAAAACTGTTAGTAAAACCATGTTTTAATGCTTTACAATTTACATACCTAGATGCACGTGTGTTGTGTTTATGCAGTGCAACTCCCACCCAGTGGGTGGCTATGTAGAGTGATAGAACAGAGCAGGCACGCCCCCGAGAGAAGGAAAGCAAGTCACGTCACAAATTAGCATTTCTAAAATGTTAGCGTGGATTAATAAAAGTGCAAAAAGACAGCGGTTGTCGCCGGAAGAAACTTCAAATACAGAGAATGCTGTGCCTGTGTTGGAAATTGTGTCTGATGGGGAGCTTTCTTTGGTTGATCCTCCTGCTCCAAGTTCTAGTGCATTAGCATTAGCACTAGCTCCACCGCCTCCTCCAGAGCCTCTAACGTTAGCTGCTGCTGGCGCAACTGCCACCACCAACACCGGGCAAAGCGATGCACCTGACTGCTGGACAACGGACCAGGTGCAATATTTTTGCAAGACCAATGCATGGCTCCTTCTTAAAGATAAGAAGCTAGGATGTCGGATATGCAGAGATGTCAAATCTTTGGGAATACACACTGGACAAGGACTGAAACTGTCAACTGAATGGGGTGAGTGTGCAGTGTCTCATTTCGGTGTTGACAAGGGCAAACAACAAGCTAGCCTGAGAAAAAAAATCAAAGAACATAAAGAATCACAAGCCCATGTAAAAGCTGCTGACATCCTTACATCTGCTTCATGTGAAACTATTCAACATCAAGTGCAGTCTATGCATACATCTGAATTAGACACCACTATCAGAGTTTTTCGAACGGCATATAAAATTGGCAAACATAGCCGGCCATTCACAGACATGCCAATTGATTTGAATGTACAGAAACTGAATGGGCTGAACGTGGGCAGGGTTTTGCACTCCAATAAAACCTGTGGCGAAATCATCGACCACATAGCTCATGAGCTGAAGAAAAAAATGGCAAAAGACATTACAGAAAACCAAAGAAAACTCTGTGTTTTGGTCGATGAATCTACCACTATTAGTGGTAAAACGGTGCTTAGCATCAGCTAATGCATCAGCATTAGCTGATGCTGAGCCCGAAACGTTTTTTTGGGAGCTGATCGAGTTGGATGGAACAACGGCTGATGACATCACAAAGGCGTTAATGGAGTGTCTTGGAAGAGATTTTAACGAGGACTTTTTAGGTCAGTGTTTCGTTTCTTTTGCATGTGATGGGGCTTCAGTCATGCTAGGGAAGAGAACAGGCGTTGCTACCCAGTTGTGTAGTAAATTCCCAAGCCTGTTTGTGTGGCACTGCTCCAATCATCGTCTAGAGCTGGCAGTTGGGGATGTGGTCAAGGAGGTCTCAGGGCTCAATCATTTCCAGATCTTTTTTGACAAACTCTATTCCTTGTTCCATGCCTCCCCCAAAAATCAGAGGCAGTTAGCGCAGTGTGCGCAAGCAGTCGGACAGCGTCTCCTGGTGATAGGGCGTGTTTTGTCCATCCGCTGGGTGGCTTCAAGTGAAAGGAGCGTCAGAGCAGTCTGGGAAAACTACCGAGTGCTTCATGATCACTTCACAAATGCTGCAAACGACACGAGCAGGGATTCCAGAGACAGAGCAAAGTACAAGGGCCTGGATGATGTGCTCACATCTGCAACGTTTGTCAGCAATCTGGGACTGATGTACGATGCGCTCACAGAGCTCAGCGACCTCTCTCGGCAACTCCAAAAAAGAGAGATGACACTGGCTACAGCAGATAGGCTCTTAACTTGAGAAATACGAGTTTTTGAATCCATGGTCACCATGCCTGGCCCACACATGACTACAGTTCATACAGCTCTAGCTGAGAAGTCCTTCAAGGGTGTTGCCCTGCGTGAGAATGGCAGGCTTGTACAGATTCATGCAGGTCAGTTTTTCCGCAGTATGGTAGAGAATCTGAGACACAGAATGACTTCCACAACCTCCTCTCATGTCAGAAATCCCATTACATGGCCAGGAGGCCCGGGACAATCAGCTAATCCAGGACATGAAAGTTATCCATCCTGGAAGTTGGCCTGAAGAGGAGTTAGACGTACAGTATGGGGACGTAGAGGTGCTACGTTTGTGCGAAGTGCTGAAAGTGGACAGAAGAGAGACTGTTCAGGGCTTTCGCGAATACAAGGAAACCAGGGCATCCCGTACACCTGCTGCCATGGAGCCTCTACTGAAAGCAGTCCGAACCATCGCTGTCTCCACTAGTGAGTGTGAGCGGGCATTCAGCTGCATGAACGATATCCTTACTGCAAAAAGGAATGCTCTCTCTGTCAGCCGACTGTCCAGCCTGGTTTTCATTAAATGTAATGGACCATCACTAGGACAGTTCAATCCGGAACAGTATGTGAGGTCCTGGCTGGCAAAGGGAAGGAGAAGTGCTGATGAAAGAGCCTGTCCAGCTCCAGCCCCTGATACTGATGTCCCCAAGGCCTTCTGGAGCCTTTTCTAACAATGTGAAGTATATTGCAAAGCAGCTCACCCAGTGAGAAGACTTTTGGCATAATGTGCCGATTTGTACAGATCCTGGAGATAGAAGGACTTCAGACCAACCAGGGAGTTATCTGATCAGCTTGGTGTGCAATGTAACTCTTTACCATGGCTCAGACTTTGTTACTTGCAGTTACAGTTTCTCATTTTAGATTGTGCAAATTTTGCATTTGTTTTTACATGTTCTTTGTTCATGCT